TATAAAATTCACTATCTGCAAAATATTTCAGTGTTCGTTAATTATTTCTTTTAGCAAAGCCACACTTGACTTTATGTTGTGTCCACTGCGGTGAATCAAACCCCGGATTTTAGCTTTGTTAGTCATAGACTTTCCACTGTCCCACCAAGAGAAAATATTTCAGTGTGAAAACTGAAAACACTCTCAGAATAGAAATGATAAAATACTGGGTGCACCATATCTTCCATTACTGCCTCATAAGTCAGTACTCACAGTTTACTTCCTAAGTCAATTCAGACCAAATCCTTAATTTTACTCAATTTTCATAGATGTGGTACCATAACGTGCTGCCAAGTACAAACGTATAAATTCAGTTTGCTCTTTTGGTTTCACAAAATAAATAAATAATCATGAGCAGGATTTTGCTATAACAACACTTTTCAACTGAGATTCCTTCAGTCAGGAATAATATGCATGCTGTCCACTACATTTTATATATATATATATACACACCCAGACAAATACAAGCTGAATATAATATTCTACAATAAGATATATTTACTGTACTAGATTGCCACAAACATCAGTAACCAAACTACCACAATATTGTGCCATTGTACTTGAAATGACCAACTCACTACAGTGACATCTCATGAAAATAACTGCAGGCAACATCGAGCGAAACAAGGACTTTTCCAGTTATATTCATAATTGCCTTATTTATATAGTGCACTGAAAAATAACACAACTCTTTCAGTGCACAAATAGAAATTATATATAGTTGTATGTACAGGATATATAAACTTTGCATTTACAACTTACAAGCTTTTTGGTTTTTGGCTTAAAATATTTAGCAAGTGTCCACTAGAAAAATTGCAACCTTAGTGCCTGGAGAGTAAGGTTCAAAACATCCTTTCATAATTTAAATGCATAAGACATTGTAGCAATACACTCAGTCCTACTGGTGCAAATGTTTGAAGGATTACGATTAATAACAATGGATATCCGAATTATGAGTCTAATGGATATTGTATGACCTGCTACATAGAAATTCTGCTTCTTCTCACTAAATTATGTAACTGATTCCCATAGAAACGTCTTACAACAGAGAAATCACTCTACAGCTCAGAAGATAAGGATCATGACGTTCTTTTTGTCTTATTCATCTTGTGATAATAAAATTATCTTAACTTTGTAATAGTCAAGTGGCAATTACACACAATAAGTCATACATTTCACCACGAAACATAACTTGATATCTCAAAAGTAAGAAATGCCGCTTCCTTTCAGTCATTGATCGTGCAATCAAGTGTCTATTTTAATTGCTGGTCTGGCAGTTAATCTCACTCATGTTGATCAATAGGTCATTGTTGGCATTTTGTACAATCATTGGATACTTTCTCACCCTGCTCCTCTTGGACAGTTAGATAAATATTCCCGGTATTTTACACCTCATCTGCTGAGTTGAGATAATATAAAATAGTACATTCACTATTCTTTGACTTATTTTCTCTATTTGTGATTCTTGGTCTGGATTGTGCACTAGAAATTCATCAGTGTTTTGCATCCCACATGACCACCACAGCTTGTAGTTTCATAGACAAACTTGCTGGAGAATGAAATAAGGAGCTGTCCAGCCAGAAATGAGTTGCTTTCATGGTGATAAATCTACCAAAGCTATACCCAATCTCCATGCTCGAATGCTCATTCTTAATTGTTTTTGTAACATATCTTTTGCAATGTGGCAACCTTTTCTAGCTTTCGGCATGAAAATTCATATGCATCAACTAACTTCACCTCTCCACATATTCTTGCAAACACCATGGTACATCCACTCTATAGGATAGACCATACATCACATTCATAAGTGGCTATATCTCTCGACTAACTAGGAGCATATTTGGCAGACGATCAATCAACTTCTGTTCATTTGCATGATAGTCTATCAAAACATAAACCAAAAGTTCATCCCAGTCATTTGTTTTTAGAATTAAAAAACTTTTCAAACATCCATTTGACAGTTTATGTTATCCATTCTGACGGGAAGAAAAAAAACAACGTATACATTTTCCCCATACCCTACACAAATCAGAAAATAGCTGAATGCTGAAGTTAACTTCTTGGTTCGTATAAATTTCTTCACGTGAGCTCAGATGAATCACAATATCCACTTCATTAACACTTTAGCACTAGATAGGGTTCATTCAGCCCATTAGGTGAAGTTATTGATAATGACTAACATATACCAATTACGTCATGCAGTATTCAGAAATGGTCCAACAATATTCTCTGCAATGAAAAACCACTAAACTTTCTGCTAGAGTTTATCCTGTCTGTCTTATCTGTTTGTTTTGTTGTTTTTTTTCTCTGGGCAGTGCAGACTATCCTATACATTGCTTACACTGTCATTAAACATCTCAATCACATTTTCGACACTTTTACGTGTGTTCTTCTGTTCAACGATTGGTTGTTGAGAGAAATACATATACTGTTTACTTTATAACAGGACTTCCAGGTCCTTGATCGGCATATGACATCAGAGATGATGTTCAGTTTAAATAGCCCTTCAAAGATGTTTGAAATTTGACAACCTTTAGATTAAAGAACCTTCTACAATTTTTGTTTTGTTAAATTTCCAGTTTTATATATTACTTTAGCTGATTTTCAGTTGATTTTATGATCAAGATTGTTCATGTATAGAAAAATATAATTATTATTTTTTAACCATTTGCAACATCTTTTTTATTGTTCTGCAGTCTTGTTAAGTTCAACCAATCAAATACCAATGTATCCATCCGCTAGTTTTTCGTATTATCTAGATCAGGAGTTCACTCTTTGTACTTGTTGTTCCTGATGAAACATTGGAACTATAAATATTATATTCTGTAGATTCCAAATAAAGAAGTCTTAAGTTTTACATAACAGGGTACTTCCTTGAATTATTTTTAAAGGATATTACAGTCACTAATTCTTTCAATTTGGATGCTACATGCTGCTGCAATATAAAATGCACAGAAATGAAATAAATGACAAATTTTAAGCTTTACTATATAATTAAAGCAAGTGGAAAACATGAAATACCTCCATGTCGCACACCTATCTACTGCCTACTGTGCAGCAATCTTTCCCGCAAATAAAAGCGCACCTAATATCACAGGGAACTTACCCAGAATAATATGTAGCTATAGAGGAAAAGGAATTTAGCCACATTCCTTGAGTTATCTATGTTTGAGTAGAAAAACTATTTCTTTCGTTCTGTTTGGTTGAAATTTAATCTGGCTGAAAATTCACAACAACTTTACTGCAAAATAAGTGTGTACCAGAAAATCATATTTGAAGTCAAATCCTTCAGGGAAAACATAGTTTTTACAGCAAAACTAACCAACACTTAAACTTTCTGATGACATAAAATGCTTTAATTTCAACTGTATTTTCTGCCTATAAAGTTCCCTGGTGGGTCTGCTACTTACAATGTTAATATCTTGGGTTCGATTCTCCGCACTGGACAGAACTTACAATTGTAACTGGCCCGGCATGGCCAGGTCGCGGGTTCGAATCCCCGTCCCACCAAACATGCTCGCCCTTTCAGCCGTGGTGGCGTTATAATGTAACGGTCAATCCCACTATTCGTTGGTAAAAGAGTAGCCCAAGAGTTGGCGGTGGGTGGTGAGACTAGCTGCCTTCCCTCTAGTCTTACACTGCTAAATTAGAGACGGCTAGCGCAGATAGCCCTAGTGTAGCTTTGCGCGAAATTCAAAACAAACAAACAATACAATTGTATAGAATTAATTTAAATCATTCATATTACAAGAGGCCTAAAAGTAGGGCTATGTCAATTATTCGGATAATCAAATCTGATTCGATTTCCAAGCGAAATTGAGATCAAAATATAAAGTGGGCAATCGATTCTATTCAAAAATAGAAAAAATAATTTTGTTTAAAGATGAAAGTTTATTCCCGAACACATAAATATTTAAATGATTAAATATCCAACCACATGTGACATACGATAGGCAAGAGTCTTACAAATTACAATGTTACACGCTGGATTTAATTTTTGACGCCCCAGTGGCTCAGCGGTAAATCTGAAACCTTATAACGCTAAAAACTGAGTTTCGATACACATAGTGAGTACAGCACGGTTAGCCCATTGTATATCTTTGTGCATAACAACAACAAGAGAGTATTCTTTGATAAATAATTTAGGCAGAATATTCATGTTGAATTGACTACGAAATCGGCGGCAACTACCTATTAGAAAAAAGACTTGTAGAAATATATTGGTGACATACAGTTTACTTATGCAACTCAAGTGTAAAAGACGACGTTTCGAAAAGCAGAAGACTTTCGAGACGACGCCCTTCACACTTGAGTTGCATAAGTAGATTGTAGGTGCACAAGTGTTTTTTTTTTTTTTCTAATAGGCAGTTGCCACCGATTTCACAGTCATTTTAAAGTAAAGAGTATTTTTAACAGTCTTCACGTAATACAAGAAAATTATAAGCATTTTTAACATCATTCACAGAATACAACACAAGCTGACTCGCTAGAACCAGGAAACATCTATGCAGGCATATCTTTCTGGAATAGGGTACAATATATTCTTTATATTGTTTCTACTTCTTAACTTTGACGCCCCCCAGCGGCACAGCGATATGCCTGAGGACTTACAACGCTAGAAACCGGGTTTCGATACCCATGGTGGGCAGAGCACAGATAGCTCTTGTGAAGCTTTGTGAATAATTACAAACAAACACAATTAACTTTGACTGTACCTTCTTCAAATTTTCTAATATTGGATTCAAAATGGCCGACGATTATTCGATTCAGTTTTATGAAAATTATTTAATCAGTTTCAAAATCGTCCTCACCCTACCTAAAAGAAGCATCAAGGAAATGTTTTAGAAAATAAATTGGAATAAATATTAAAAACAACTTAAAACCTCTATAACTATGAAAAACGATCAGCCCAAACAGGATACGTATATAAATATACTTGTACTGAAAGAGAAATTAGTTCAGCTTAGCGCCCCCTAATCCTTGCATCGTATATTAAAATATTTTTGCTGTGCGGGTTGCTGGGTGTAATTTTATATTCTGCTGTTTTGCAAGTTAAACAAGGTAAGAAAATTAATGTTTTCTAAACCTATTAGTGTTATAAATCTTTTCATTTTAATATGGTTTATTAATCGATACTAAAATTAATCTAAATACTTCGATTTTGAATGATGTTACTAACTTAGCGAGACTAGCAGAGCTTGTAAAGAATCTTCTAAACCTTTTTTGTTTGTTTGTTTAAATGTAATAAAACCTGAAGCTCAACTACTCCTACTATTAAGTTATAGTCCTAAGAATCGGTGTCATTGACTCCTTTGAGCTTTAAATTCGCTTTTAGTTTTAGCACCACCTGGAACTTAGTCCTACACTAGAGTAAGGATGCTAGAAACGAAGAGAAAATTGTTTTATGACGTTTGGTTTGCAAACTTTAGAAATTATATTTAGTTGAGATCCTTTTCTGTACAACTAACTATTAACTTCCACGGTTTGTTGATTATCATAACTGCCAGTCTTATTAATATTATGATGTAATTTCACACAAATAAAGTTTTTACATCTTATGCTCTAGTTCCAAAACACCATTTGTGATAATAAACTTCATTTTTTATTATTAATATACCTTTACTGTTTAGCATTTGAAAGTGCATGATAATATATTCTATATTTGTATAAATGTTGAAGGCCAGCAATACCAATTTTTTTTCTAATGGTTTAAGATTTGTTAATTTTGGTAAAGCAATAATTTATTGACATAAAAACTCTTAAAATTTGTACAATACAACTGAAAATTTATAAAAGTGTAATAGAATTCTAACAGAGGTGAAATAAGCCTTTCTATAGTGGTAAAAGAGGGAAAGAAAATTTTTTTGTGTTTAAAAATTATGATTTTGGGTCTTTTTTTAGGTGAAAGACAAAACATAGAAAAATGGCTACTGATTTTTCAGCAACCCACACAAGTACAACCGTAACCTCAAGCACAACTAAGGTGTCTCCAATTATACGATTTGACAAAAGCTACATTCGTACAGTTCCAGGAATACTGAAAGTTGTCCAAGTGGTGTGTAAATTTGTATCTTAATGAGACGAATCACATTTGTTTTCAGTTATTTAAAAATATGTATATATTTTCCAAATGATATTTCAACAAATCGTGTTATAAGTATCGCACTTAAAAACATTTACTTTTAAAACTACATAGATAATGAAATAAACCTTAGTGTATTTAGACTTGAAATACATACTGAAAATAAAAAGATTCACTTTATAGAATATAAGAAAATTCATTGTACCTTTCCTGTGACTTTAATATGCGAGTTGCTGATGGGAACTCAAGCTTGAAATGTAAACAAAAAATTAGTTTGGGAAAGGAGAAATACATTGGTATAACATGACTAACCTTCTGAAGAGTAACTAAATTTATTGGCTCAAGTCTTAATGTTTTAGCAATTTTAACACTGAGTTATTTATATTTTTAAAAAATGTGTATGTGTCAGATATTTAGCAATATTCTTGTAATACTATATGAGGTACTTGATATAAGAAACAAAAAAAAACTTTTTTTAAAAAAGCAACAATTATTTTATACACAATTCCATAAAAATGTATTGTTTCCAATCTCCAAATTACTAAAATAATAACTTACTGTACAAGGTTAAAAAGTGGTAAAAAAACCCCGATGAGACTGGAAAACAATCTCATTTTTATAGAATTATGTATAAAATAATCCTTTTTTAAAAAAAATGTTTTATTTTCAAGATTGAACATTACACACATGCCAAAAAAAGCTTGTTATTGAGATTTTTCAGAAGTGGCATTATAATTTTTATACTGGTTTGTGTAACAAGTCAAACTGTATTTTAAAAAGAAAATATGTATGTGCCAAATATTTAACAATATTCCTCTAATTGTAATACTATATGAAGTACTTAATATAAGAAACAATAAAAGCTTGTTATGGAAATTTTTCAAAAGTTACATTATACTTTTTATACTGTTTTGTGTATCAAGTCATACTATGTTTTTAAAAAATCAGGGTACTTGGTTTTCTTCGTACTTTATCTATTTTTATGTTCTCATGTTGTGAGAACTTTAATGAAGATAAAAGAACATAACCTATGCAAGTTCATGTGTCAAAACTTTATGACAGCTGAGTTTAATAAAATATAAATGTTTATTTTTGTATAGAACTGGGTGATTAACTCGATTAATCAATGTAATCAACCTATGAGCATTAATTTACATCGATTAATGTTATGTAAAACATTTAACTTATCAAAATTATTGTTTGTAATTATTACAACTATCCAAGTAATTGAAATATTTCCATTATTAATTCTCGTTATTAATTTAGGTCTAACTCATTTACTTATGTCCGAGTAATGTTAACTACTAAATACAGTGTATGTAGTAAGATTTATTTACATTCAAGTAATGTTAACTGATATTAATTATTAGAAAATTTCAAGTTGTATTGAATATTGGTATACGTAATAAAGGAGCTACTTAAAAAAATTTATGACAACAAAAAAGACTATTTTTTTTCCAGTTTTTAAATGTTATCATATGATGCAATTAGTTAGGCACTTAAGAAAGAAAACTAAGTTTATAGTATATTTTTAGTCTATTTTCAACTTTTAAAACACGCATACTTCTGCTTTCTATAAAGTGCCACCAGATGGCATTTGGGGGAGCTAGTAATTTTTTTTTGGAATTATTAAATATAATTATTTGTACCTGAAGTTATTCTAATAACTTGACAAAATATTTTATTGTGTAATTTTGTATGTTTTAAGAGAAAAAAGTGATTTTATTTATTTTTTTCGATTATTGCACTGAAATGTTGTATATGTTAAGTTTAGAAATTCTTTACAAGATTCTCTCTATACTGTTATTGTTATACCATTTTTTTTCCAATTTCAGGTTATAAACTTGATTGGATTTATATGTGCTCAAGTGGCTTTGTGTAGCTTGTGTTCTGAGAGCAACTGGTTCAGTTTTGTTTCAATGACGGCATTTTGGGTGACTTTAATACTGTTGATCTTCTATCTTTTTCACGTCATTGAAAAAACTCACATTATTCCATGGCTGTTAGTGGTAAGTAACCCATTTGGCACCAGTCACATAAAAATCAAATGTATGAAACTGTGTTTTTTTCAGTGCATATGCATTCTCGTCTGGCAGACCAATAAATAACTTAGAAAGATGTTTACCAACACAGCGGTATGTGTAAAACAGATGATTCATCAGATTAACTTCAGCCAGCTAAACGATTGATATTAAACGTCTCGTTTAATTCATCGGCAAATATTGTTGAAAAACTTGTAATGTCATATGTTGTACCATCTTTTATACAGTTTCCGTGTTATTACACTTTTATGTTGGAGTTTGAATATATATGGTACTGTTGAAAATAACATTTAAGCTAGTTACTAAGAACTTAAAAATACTATTATTTCCTTCTTCGATTTGTATTCCTTTTGAAATAGTTGTGATTTTTTAAAAATATAGCAGCTTAAGGTTTGTGTTTTTTGTTTTAGAAAGAAAATTACTGATTACTGTTCCTACAGTTGCTAAATGAAGCAGGTGTTAAAGTTAAACAAAAATACATGTAATTCATGTATTTCTGTACTTAAAAGCTTCAAACTGGTGTTTATTCAGAACTGCGTAACATAAAATCTTTCTAATCTCACGAGTCATTTGATTTTTTTTTGTTAATACTTGATGTGAGAAATGAAAATTAACCTGATTCTCTGCTAAACGAGGAATTAAGGTTAGTGTTTTTGATTATATTAGTCATGAATTAGCATCAGTTATTAAGATACCAATTTATTAAAAGTAGTTTTTCCATTTATTTGAAATCAAGAATAACAGACTAATGTGCAGTAAAAAACTGGTTAGAAAATTATACATTTTGGTTGTTGAAAAAGCTAACAAAAAAAGTATGTTGTAGGTCAAACCACCAAAGACAACGAAGAGTTAACTACATATATATATATATATATATACTATTATGGATACAATGTTTCTTAAGGTATAGTAAAGTTGTACTCAACTAATGACAAGTTAGTTTAGAGATGAACAAAGTTACAATATTGTGGTGTTTGAGAAGTGACGAATTAACCATCGTCTATTTCACATATCTTATATATGCTTCACTAGTGTTGCATTTAATGTGATATTGTAATATAGTATGCATGTTTCACAACTATATACTGTACAGCTATTAGAAACTGATTTTACTTATATGAACTCTGTTTTTTCTATAAATGTTTGGGCAGGAACTGGTGTATTGTGGAGTCTGGACCATTTTCTACCTCATTGCTGCTCTGGTTGTGTCAGTAAATGGGAGATATGATAATGCTTGGGCTGCAGCTGGGGTAAGAAGAGATCTATATTAATAAAGATTCTTGTGCTGTAAATTATGTTTAAGTTAAGAAATATAACTCTCCAGTTTTTGAAACAACCATCCAAGGTAAAGTAAAGAATATTGTTTTATATCTAAAGTTAAGTAAGTTATCCTTGGGTCACATGTGTAGAATATTGTTTTATATCTAAAGTTAAGTAAGTTATCCTTGAGTCACATGTGTAGAATAATGTTTTATATCTAAAGTTCAGTAAGTTATCCTTGAGTCACATGTGTAGAACAGTATTTGGTGTAGAATATTGTTTTATATCTAAAGTTAAGTAAGTTATCCTTGAGTCACATGTGTAGAACGGTATTGTTTTATATCTAAAGTTAAGTAAGTTATCCTTGGGTCACATGTGTA